TTCTCTGCCGGCCCACATTGTGGATGTGGCTTTGATTGGTTCCATCCTCTTCCCTTATCAGGTTTTAAATCCGACGATTCAAAAAAGAAAATGAACCCTTAACATGACCTTAGTCACGTAACACTTCTTTCCTAAAAACAGGCTCTTGACAACCAAGACTTTTATGTAGGTGTTTGGAACATTTCACACCACACCACACACACAACACAGCACAGAAACCACACACCACACACACATACCACACATCTCACACACACACACCACACATACACCACACACCACACACATACTACACCATACTACACACACATTCCACACATATCACACACATTCCACACATATCACACACATACCACACCACACACACACCCATACCACACACATACCACACACACACATCAAACATGCCACACATACCATACACACAACACACAGGCACCTGGGGAGGTCACATACAAGGCTCTGCAGCTCTCAGGAGCCATGTGTGAGAAACTGAGACTCTCCCGCCCCATTTAATTTATTTTCTACTTGAAAGCACTTGCATGTTCAACCTCCACCAGAATTGATCTCAACATAATCTATTCCCTCAATATTGTAAATTTAGGCAAAGAGTAGCATATTAATGTGGCAGATCAGTAGAATTTATTAAAAACCTGACCAATGCACTTGGAATATGTGAGACTAACATCATGGGAAAGATGAACCAGTAGTCAATATGAGGATGTGTACTCATAAGGTCGAAAAGGTCGCCCCCTAACTGTCTGCAGACAGGCTTGGTACTTAACAGCACTGCTGGGGATCAGCCATATGCCCATCACTCTGCTGAGTGTGCTCTGTGTAAACAGGCATACACCGTCCTCTCCATGGGTGACGCCAGAGAGGGCACTGGCCCAGAACAACAGTGCCGGAGATGAGCAGCGAGACCTTGTGAGGAGATAAATTTCTAAGTTAATAAATAAGCAAGAAGGCAACACTTTACAGCTCCCCTTGGAAAGCAAAGCCTCTGCAGTAAGTTAAAGAAGGCAGTGGATGAAAGGGGACCGTTAGAAAGTGTGTGAGCTCAATTAAATTTTGCCTTGATATGAAAATATTTGCACACCACACATCTGACAAGAGGCTGCTACCCAGGATCAACCAAGACGACTACAACTCCACAAACAAAAAATAATCCACCCCGAAAATGAGCAGAAGAGATAAACAGGGACGTCTCCAAAGAAAACATACAGCTGGGGGCCTCCCCTGGTGGCTCAGCGGTTGAGCGCTGGGCTGCGAAGCTGCCCGCAGCCTCTGCAGTGCCAGTTCGATCCCCGGCCTCCGGCGAGGGTCCCACATGGCGCAACAGACCTCTCCTGCCGCCTGCTGCTCCCCTCAGCAGTGTACTTCAGTCCTTCTGCCTGCTCTGCTCCCCGCTCTGGCTCTGGTGAATTCTCTCACCCTCCCACACTTCTGACTGTACCCAGTGCTTGTATAAATAAATAAATCTTAAAAAAAAAAAAAAAGAACTAACACTTAAAAAAAAAAAAAGAAAAAGTAAACATAGAGCTGGCCAGCAGCGTGGGGAGGGAGGCTACTCGTCGGTTATCAGTAGTCAGGGAGACGGAGATCAGAGCCGCAGGAGAGCCCACCTCACAAGTGAGAACCGTCCAAACCAAACATTGGATTCTACACTCCTGTGAAATTTTCACTGTGGATTGCTTCCTCTCCTCTGTATCCGGTATAATCTTATGAGAAGAAAAATTGTATATGGTTTCTAATTTTTAACTTGCTTTGTAGCAGTACATGGTTTGTCGGAGGGAATATTTCTGGTGTGTGTGTGTGTGTGTGTGTGTGTGTGTGTGTGTGTGTGTGTGAAAAAAGTAAATTGGATGTTGTGAGCGAGGGCGACACAGACATACTAGCAAGGCCAAACTGGCAGCTAGCTTTGTTTGGGTGCTCTACATTCTCATTCACTTTCTAATTCATCAGCAATTAAAGAAAGTCTTGAAGCTTTTAGCTGCAATTTTGTATTTGCCTACTCGCAATGTTATCATTTTTTAATGTATTTCAAGCTCTGTTGCTAAAAACATACACATTTTACATGGTTTTATCTTTGAGGAAATGGACCCTTTTGCTATGTAGCATCTCGCTTCGTTTCAAATAATAACCCCTGCTCCAAAATGCTTGACCCTCACGTAGGTGCTCCAGCTTGCCCTCGGGCAACACCCTCTGCTGGAAGAGCACGTCCCACTGGTGAGTTCATAAATTCCTGTCCCGTCCACAGTCTCTGTCTCTCTGTCGTGGTGCGTCATTTAAGTCATTTACATTTAGTTTGGTCATCGGTGTGTCTGGATTCAAATCTGCCATTTTATGGGCTCTTCTCTATTAGCGCCTTTTGTTCTTTCATTTTTCTGGATTCTCTGGTGCTGATTGGGGCTTTAATTATTTTATTTTATTTTATCTTATCTCCACTTTTATGTTTTTCGTGATTGCCCTGAGGTTTTCAATATTCCTCTTTAATTAGCCGTGGTCACATACTGCTTCGTGCACCCTGTCTGGAATTTGCAACAAGATAGTCTCGTTCCCTCCTTCCCTTCTCCCGTGTCACTGTTGTCATGTATTTCATTGTTACATATGCTGGGAACATTCACCACGTTGTGGCAGTTTTGCTTTAGACAATTAAATATAAAAAAGAAAACTAATTTTATATTATCTTCATTCATTATTTACCCTGCTCCCAGCGCTCTCCAGTCCTTGCTATAAATTTGTAATTTCTCTTGGTATAATTCTCCTTTTCATCTGAAAAACTGGCATTTTTTTTCCCTGTCACTCTGCTGATAGAGGATTCTCCCAATTCTGGTTCATCTGTGAAACCTGGGCACAGAAATCTGGCTAGACGTCTCTTTGTTTTTGTTTTATTTGCAGTACTTTGAAGATGATTTTCCACTGTATTTGCGCTTGCATGGTTTCTTGCTGACATAAAAGTATTCTGTCAAAATTTTACCTTTGTTTCCAAATGATAAATCTTAAAAAAAATAAAATAAAATTTTTCACAAAGCACTCTGTTGTGTAATGTCAATGTTAATTTACATAAGATAAATATAATTTTTTAAAAAGTTCCAAAAGTGAACTTTTAGAAGTCATAATACTGTACCAGATTTTTTTAACTCCCTAGTAAGCTAGAAAGAAATATATTTCATCATACTTGTAAGAAGTAAAGAATTTCCATCATTAAGAAGTCTCCTTACTTGATACAGTGCCAAGAACACAAGCCTTGTATGACACATGACAGAGCTCACCACCAGGAAAGGAGATGACGGGACAGTGGACACAGTTTCACAGCTATTGAAGCAAAAGATGATCGTGCTGATTCTCCACAAAAACTGCTGAAAGTCCCTTAAATAGTGTGATTCATTCTACCAAATTTTAATATTGGGTTACAAAGAAGAATCTGGGTACATCGCATCAGAAGAAATGAGAGAAAAATCATCAGCATTGCAAATGGAACACCCTAGATTCCAACAGAGCATTCTAAATAGCCAAATAATATTTTCTCCAAAGAATATTGATTTCCCTTTCCACCTACCCATTTTTCTTTAGGTCTGTGCATAGAGGCAATTATCATTTAGATTGTTTTCAGTCTTTTGAGACTACGGAGAAATATCTTAATGCAGATATATATACTTAACTTGCTCATAAATTGGTTCATTTTACATTCTTATCTTTCACTCTGACTCATTATTTGGATGGGTTTAAATATATGCTGCAATATTTCCCAAGTTCTTTTAATTCAAATACTTGCAGGTAGTATATATATTTCAGAGACAATCCTATTCTTAAAGAAAGTAATTGTCTATTAGAAGAATATCTAATGTGCTGATCAATATACATACTATCTTTCATAGGCTATTGGTGATTTTTGTCTTAGACAAATGCACCTTTATATGTTGGGGCTTATATTTCTGTTATTTTTATTTTTATAATGATAATTTATTTCTGTCAATAATTTGATAAGAATAGTTTTTAAAATATGTAAAAATTTAAACAAATTAAACATCTAAAATTAGAGATATGAAAAACCAATGCTTGTCTATGCATGTCACTGTCAATTAATATATTAAGTATTCAGTTGTATACCAAAGTATTTATATATTAAAACAATCAAATAAGGTTAGTGAGTTAACATCCCCATTGACAGATGAAGAAATTTAAGCATGGAAGATTCCAGGCATCCTAATTAACAAAGGAATTCATTCCAGTATATTTGTATCTATTGTCTGCATCTTTGATGGCAACGATGTAAACCTTTTATGAATTTCTTTCAGAAAAGAAAAATAATAGGTATTAGTGCACAGGAACACATCCATGTTCAGGAATAATTTAGAGTCAGAGGAAACTTCGAGTTCAATCTTTTTATATCAATGGCCCCACTACTATTTCTCTTGAATGCTCCATTTTACCACATCATGCAATCCGTTTGCTTTTTTATGGTATCGATGTCAGTGAGAGAATTTGCAAATGAACTTTCCAGCTTCAGTGAGGGAGACTGGATTTTGAGAAAATCTTTTCCTTAGGATGAATTCTGGCAAGTAAGGGAGTGTTAGGGTGCGCTCGGTCCCTTTCACGCTAATCCTCAGTGAAGTTAAACAGACTGTGAATGATAAGTGCACAGGATAAAGGTAGAAAATGAAGGTATGTATGTGCCTTGGAGCTTTGTATTGACAAGCCCTCAAGTAACCCGCCTGCTGGGACAGCCAGTGACAAGCAACAAGTTAGCGTTGCAGGATCAATGCCCGGCGTGTGATCTGTAGCAGGTGTCGCTGCCTGTGTTCAAGGGACATCGATAAAGCATCAGAAACGAAATCCCTGAACCTGGACGCCTCCCCCACGCCCCAGGCCCTGCTCAGTGACGAAGCCAGCCACACGGGCAGGCTCCCGGACAACCCACTCTCAGCACCACCGAGAAAGTCCTTCAGTCAGGGGGGGAATGAGGGCCTGACGTCATTCCAGCCAATGCTCCTTACCTTCCGCCCACACGCCTTTGAGGTTTGGGGACCTCCCCTCTCTGCACCCCAAGCTGCTCTTCTTGGACAACGGCCTCTACTGGCTGCTTTTATGGCCGTCAGGCCCCGCTGACTCAAACCGTCAAAACGGTGACGTAGCGCCCGGCACACGCGGTCCAGGGCAGGATCCAGCAGCTGGCGCCCGCAGCTGCTCAGTCTCACATCAATCAAAGTCCTCTCCCATCAATCAAAGGCTCCCCGATTTCTCCACATTTGTCACGAGAACCAGTGAAACCCCCTCTCTCCCAGCTCCAGCCCCTATGAGCCTAGTCAGTGTGTCTGTTTGCACAACAGGAAAAGCATCCTGGCTCCCCCACAGCGGCAGCAACAAGGACTCTGAACAGCAGAAGCCTCTGCTTTTATTGTCCCACCTGCAAGAAGGCAAATGCATGAATCTGGAGTGTTATGAATTGTATCTGGTAAATGCACCCCTCAGGGGATTTATGATTTTAGTTCTGGTGTCAAGGTGAACAATTACATATTTTAAGCAAGGAGTTGATATAGTTAGAATTTTTGATGACCGATAATAAAACCAGGCATGTTAAATGGGATTCATTGAATATAGCTCTGGCTAAGTGGGAAGTGTGAAATATACAATGGAGTTCCGCTAGGTATCACTTAGGATATGCAGACTATGAATAGGCAACGCTCATAAGACAGCAAGAATGCGCACAGCTTTCCCTGTAAGCTTCACGTCAGGGTCCCAGTATTGAAGGACAAAAGAGCTCAGATTTTTGTGGGATAGATGTCAGAATACCTTTATGATTCTTCATGTGGCAAATTGGGAACATCAGTTAAATGCCAGCCTTTAAGCAAATTCTTTAACTACTTTTTTTTTTCTCTACGTTATTCAAGATATTATGAATAATAGTTTCTACTATTATTTTATTATTTTATAAATAATTTGCCGCCCCTACCCTGAAAATGCCTGGGGTATGGGAAGTAGAGTACCCCAGAGTGAGCTTACCATGAGCCAGTGATAAGAATGTGAGAGAAAGAAAAACCGAACAGGCGTGCTGATGAGTATTGGGAAATAAGAAATAGTGGTGATAAAGGGGAAGTTCCATGCTGGGTAGGATTAGTGGAATTCCATGCTGATTAAAGGTAGGGTCAGTATTAAGAGATGTTGTATGTAAGTTCATGAGTTTGACATGATTCTTAAAAACTGGCATCATGTTTCATAGGCAGAAGGCAAGAGATTTCTTGAATGAGGAAAAGGAACTGAACAAGGCATGGGATGATTTAGAGCAACAATAAGCAACTTAGCCTGTGTGAGTGCAGGGCTTCCAAGGCGGCGGGGGGTTGGGGGTGGGTAGGGGCAGTGTGGACAGTAGAACAGATTTGGGTGGCACAAAATTCACTACAGATATTCTGGAAAACATTTGAAGAAATCATATAATTCCCAAGTATGAAGCTTCTGTGCCAATGACTCAGAAGTGCATAGTTGAAAGGAAGCTTTAGCAGCTGTGTGAAGAGTAGATACAGGTGAAGTCATTATCCGTGAAAGGAAACACGCAGATGAAGGAAGAGGAATCCCTTCTGTTCAGCTATCGTTATATTTTAAATTATTACTGTTTAACTTATTTCTCTCTCTTGTCCTTACATATACATCGAGACAGGAAATTCCGTACACTTTTACATTTTCTTCATTAACATTCTTCAAATTTTCAACCTGTACAGAACACCTCTCCGTGCTCTGTATTGTGCATTATTTCTATCTTTGACAATTCAATATAGATAACCTTTTGTTTAAGATCTTATCATTTTGATCTGCCTTCCAAAGTAGTATTAAAACATATTTTGAAAGAGGTGAGCCATAAGGATGAATAGTAAATCAATGAAGGGGTGGAGGATTGACACTTGTAAGTGGGAGGTGACAGAATATTGGAGTTCGAATATAGATAGAAGGAATAAGTAGTAAGTAATAAAAACAAAGACCCACATTAAGATTTTATTGGCTTCAGAACAAAAACTACAAAAAAGAGAATATCCATTTAAAATGTATTAAATTCTATATATAGCCCTTTTTATTATTTACTCTAACAAACAATCTGCTATTATTTTTTGCCCAAAGGCCTTCACACCTTTGAGGTGTTATGTGCCAATGAAACATTTCTTTCAGCATGGAAATGTTTGGGTAGTAACTCAGAATCAGAAGGAAGTGTGGGACCACCTGTGTGTTCTCTCATTGGAAAACCACCAAACGAGAAAGGAAAGAAGTTGTGTGACTGGCTTGCTCTTGTTTTTGTTTGTCTGCTCTTGGTTTTCACATGAAATAAGCAGCGTGTCACAACTTACTCCAACCAGGACAAGTCACTCTTGCCTCGCTGCTGGGTGGCATTGTATCACTAATTTTATACTTTTTGTTGCAGAGTTATGAATGTGCCGAGGAATCATTATTTTTCCACTGGAACTCACTGAGTGTGAGTTTCAGTGCCAACATTAACATTATAATAATAACTGTGATCAACTCAATGACAGTAAACACAGAATAACAACCTTAGAAAAGAGAAATACCTTATCACACACTCTTCTAAATATTGCACCCTGCTGATCTGTTAATCCTCTCCCCAGAGCAGGGATATCGATACAGTTCTTGTGTTAATGATAAGGAAAATCCTATTTAGTGGAGGCTGAGTAATTTATTTAAATTTGCAGAGTTAACCAGGAATGGAGTCTGAATTGGAATTCGAGCATGCTGATCACTGGCTGGACTTACCTAGGGAGTGAACTAGTCCTTAGTTCTACAAATAAAACCCTTTTCTGACTTTTTCCTTTACTTCCAGCTATCTAGCTATTTGTTCACTCCATGGGTTAGAAGTAAGGAGATTTCAGAAAGAAAGCAAGAAAGTAGGGCAGGAAGGAGAGCGTGAGGGAGGCAGGAAGGAGAGGGAAATGTGAGCTCTGGCCCTACTCTCACGTTCCAGATTCATATCCCAGCCTTACAAGAACACCTGGTTCATATTTTTAACAAATACTTTATGAGTCAACAGCAGAGGTAAAATCTGCTGGTAGGTCTCTTTATAATTCCCATTAAGGCTATATCCTAAATGAACATCTGTTGTGCAATCTTGTGAAATTAGCATAGAAATTGGAATTTTTCTCAGTGAAATCATGTCCTTCTCATACTGATTTGAATGTTGCACCACTGGAAATTTTATCAGTATTTCTTGGAAGAAGAAATGGTGGGAATTATCTTGTGCAGCTAGAAACTATGCTATCATGTCCATTACTCCAACAAACAGAATCACAGCATTTTGTCTTGGCGCTGAAACCTACTAAATGTTGGGGAATACAGATCGTGAAGATGAGGAAGGAAATACAGAAATATATATACTACTTTCCTTACAGCTGCAGAAAAGCAGATGCTATTCTACATAATCTAAACTTTCTTGCAAATACAATTTCTAATAAAAGAGCTTTGTAGGACCCCTAGGCTCTGCAAACTGTGGAATGGTATTTAATCCCTGAGATCTGTGTCATTAATTCGAATGATTTATTTAATTATGTATTGTCTATAATAATATGTAGACTGACAGCTCTGCGTTCTCCGGTGTATGCATGTTCTGGGCTTTCTTATTGAAGCATAGGAGTATTATTGTCATTTCCTTCTTTTCCGACATGCAGTGAGATGACAGGTTTCTTGTTTAAACAAGGAGCTTGAGAGTGTTGACCTTTTTAAGTGAAACTATCAATAACATTAGATTAGGAATTCTAAATATTTACAAAATATCCAGTGATATAGTAGAAGAATTTCTTATCTAACATCACAGTAAAGCAATAAATTATTCTGGCTACATTTCTGAAAACTTGCGCATAATCTAAGTGGCAGGACCTTCTCTTGAATAAAACACAGAACAAAAACGTTGGGAGCAGGGGGTTGGTGTCCACAGTCCTTGATGAAGAGGCTTGTGTCGGCACGATTTTTGACGTTCAAAAGGCAAGCATATCTGGGCTTTGCACCTTTGTGAATGTGAAATCATGAAATGATTATTTCTGACAGGCTCTCCAGTGAGGGGCAGACAGCTTGACAGATACATAGAAATTTCACTATAGCGCGAGCAAGTTCTGTGGAATAAGTGGTGCCATTTTTGGTTTTGTGTTAAAAGGAGAGCTGTGGAAACTGGATTGGTATAATGAGCTCAATTGTATTAAGCATTAAATATGCTGTTAAAATTAGTGTATGTTTGAAATCCTTTTTAGTATGGGTTTTATGATGTACAATTGTCCTCTATTTCATCACATATGTATAAAAACGTATTTTTTTATTGAGGTAACATTGGTTTACACTGTAAGTGGTTTAGGGATATAGGTTCACAGCTCGTGAAATCACATCTTTTAAAAAGAATGAAAATACAGAATCTCTGCCTGAGCTGCCTTTAGTTCATTTCTATTTCTAGTGATAAACAGCCCCCTCACCTCACGCTGAAGAAATTATGAATTGTCCACATAGGATAGGTCATCGTAAAATCATGACTATGCACGTATTTTTTGTCGTTTCTGGAAAAGTGATCTTCACCTTGTACTAAATTTTGCCAGTGGTCCTGAAAAATTGCAAGTGACATAGGAAAATGTCTCTCATAATAAATATTTTTATTGAAAAGTGTGCTGTAAATATAAATCTAGCACTACTGTTTTCACACATGCCACCAATTACTGGCCTCTGTGTGTGTGTGTTACAAAAATGCAATTCTTGAATTTATTCTTCACTAAATAAGTCTTATCTAAATAAGGTTAAAAAATTCTCCAAACCACACTATTTTCTTAGCAAACATATGCATCCAACAAACACAACCCCAGAAGACAATCAAATTGTAGAAGCCACATCTTTTACAGAGAATGAAAGTTTGAATGTCTTTTCAGTTTATTACTTTTGGCTTTGGAAAGTTTAAGATAACAAACAAAGAATCACTCTTTCAAAGCTTTATTAATCCCAAAATGTCCATTATAATCACATCATTGTCAGTGACCCACTAGCCAGAAACTTTCTCTCCACATTGGCTGTTTAGAATTCCACAATTTTGCCAATAAGCATTAAATTGCATTGATGGTACATGTGAAACCCTATAAAATCATTGATAAT